GGCTGGTGGAGTGGCTCAAGGTATAGGTCCTGAGTTTAAGCCCTAATACAGCAAAAAAAAAAAAAAAAAAAAAAAAAGCAAAAAAAAAAAAATATATATATATATACAGACTTGGGACTCATTAGCTTATAGCTAGTATTCAAAGCCATTAGGTTGAGTGAGGGAAGGCAGAAAAGAGATGTGAGAATCAAGTCTGGGGATTACAGAAGAAGTTAGGAAGATGGGGAGGAGGCAAAGGACCCTAAGGAGCAGTGGCCATTGCAGTAGATGGAGAAGCTAGTGAGAATCATCCTAGAAGCCCAAGAAAGAAGAAAGAACTGTGTCGAGTGTAGTTGACAGAGCCAGTGCGGGGACTAAGAATTCATCACCGAACTTGCCAATGCTGAGGGCACTGGTGACCTTTACAAGAGTAACTCTGGAGTGGTGGAGGTGAGAGTGGGTTCAAGGGAAAGAAGAGGAGAGGAGGTGATGACAGCAAGGATAGACAAATATTTTTAAAGAGTTTTCAGTAAAAATATAGATAGAAGAGAATGGAGGGTATTTGTTTATTTAAAGTTGGGAGAGGGCTGGCGGAATGGTTTGGGTGGTAGATTTCCTGCCTAGCAAGCATGAGGTCCTGAGCTCAAACCCCAGTACCATCAAAACAACAACAGCAAAAAAAAAAAAACTAAGAGGCTAAAGATGGAAGAAAAGTTGATGACGAGATTCCATAAAGACAAACATATTGATGATGCGGAAAGCTGAGGAGAACTGGCAGAGCCCTGCAGTGCCGCAGTGAAAAGGATGGGAACTGGTACCCAGGCAGAAGGGCTTCCCTATGGAGGAACGCAGGCGGTTCGTCTGTAGTAACAGAGAGATAACAGATGCAGGTAGGCGGCAGAAGCATGTGGAAATGCTCTTCAGACTGCTTCTATTTTCTCTGTGGAGTTGGGAGCAAGACCATCAGCCGAGAGAGCAGAAAGGAGGAAGGAGTGGAGGATGGACGAGAGAAGAGCGTAAAATAGCCATCAGGGTGGATGGGAGAGTACAAGAAACTGAAGAAATGTGGGAGCACTGGTGGTCAACACAAATGGCCCTTGGGGGTCATGAATTTAAGTGAAACCCGTCTCCCTGGAGGCATGTTTTCCCCAGCCATGTTCAGTTGCTTGGATGAGAGCTGGCGAAGTCACGGTGGCGGGGTTTTGCCAGGTAGATACAATGAAGGAGAGGGTAGCCAGGGAGTTGAGCATATATGCAAAGGACTGACTATAATGAGGGATCATGGTGGAATCCAGGCTGGGTAGGGAGGCAAGAGTGCAGGTACTTGAGTAAGGGACCATGCAAAGGAAGTAGTAAGATCGATGGGTGACAGAGGTCCAATTTAGCCACAGTAGGTACAGTATACAACACTTTCAGCTGGCCCCTGAATGTTGTTATTGTAATTTACTTTAATGCAATAGAAATGAGGCTGGGGATGTAGCTCAGTGGTAGGGCACGCGCCTAGCACACACAAGTCCCTGGGTTGGATCACCAGCACCACAGAAAAGCAAGAGTATATAATAATTTCAGTTTGGATTGTACTTTTCTTTACACCAGTGCAGCCATATGATACCATTTTAAATATTTTTTTGAGGTAGGGTCCCATGAAGGCAAAAATTCCAAGGACTCATGAAAGTTGAAATGTGGTCCCTTTGAGAGATCCAGTGGGGTAGTAGAATGGTTTGAACCAAAATGGCAGAAGGCATGGGTGAGAAAGATAGGAGTTGGTAACAGGAAGATATGGTACTTAAACTTGGGATTATGGAGTATGTAAAACTATAGGTAGCAACAAAGCCTAAGGTAGGACCGTCCTTCTCCTTGAAGAAGAAATCAAGGAAATGAAAATCTGGTTTTATCAAGTATCCATTGCCATATTCTTAAACCACCCCAAAACTCAGTGACTTAAAACAACCACTACTTATCTTCCTGAATTTTGCTAATGTAGACTGGGTTTTGCTGAGAGTTCTTCTGTTGGTCTTTTCTGGGTTCACTCATGTGGCCTCAGTCACCTGGAAGCTTGACTGGGGGCTTGGTGAGCCAATGTGACCTCACCTGTGTGAAGACCATTGGCCAGGGTGCCTCAATTCTCCTCTCTGGAGCTTCTCATCTTCTGGTGGGTCAGCCTGGACTTCTTTACCTGCTGTTGAAAGTATCCTAAGAGAGCAAAGGAGCAAGCTCCAAGGTCTCTCTGGAGAGCTAGGTCTAATAACTCACATAAGTCATTTCTATTACTTTCTATTAGTCAAAGCAAGTCATAAGGCCAGCCCAGATTCAAGGTATTGAGAAATAGACTTCCTCCCTTGCTGGAGGGAGCAGCAAAATCATTGTAAAGGGTCATATGGTAGAGGATGTAGTGTAGTGGCCATCCTTGCAAACCATCCATCACACTCATTGGAAGATTGTCTATATCATCCTAAATCATCAAGAATCACCAAGAACAAGCCAGGTGCCGGTGGCTCACGCCTGTAATCCTAGTGACTCAGGAGGATCACAGTTTGAAGCCAGCCTGGGCAAATAGTTCATCATGAGACCCTCCGCAAATAGTTCATCGAAAAACCCTCCACAAAAAAAGGGCTGGTGGAGTGGTTCAAGGTGAAGGCCCTGAATTGAAGCCCAAGTACCACCACCACCAAAAAAAAAAAAAAAAAAATCACCAAGAACAATTCCCACCACTAAAAAAAAAAAAAATCACCAAGAATTAGACAGAAGTGGGAGTGAAAAGAGTGACAATAAACCAGGTGCTAAAATCTTAGAGACTGAGGGGAAGAAGTGATATCATCTGATACCATCAACTTCTAAAGCTTCAAACAGCTTTGCAGTTTCACTGCAGAATTTTAATACATTTCATCAATGAAAAGGAATTGTTCACTTTTCACAACTTCTTTGACTCAGTCAGTCATCAGTTCAGACTCTATCCTAAGGAAGGAGCCTAAAGCATGGGGAAAACTACATATGTGGAAATTGTATGTGTCAGATGTCACGCTAGGTACTGGAACACAGTGCCCAGATAAATAGCTGTGCCACAATTATTTTTTCAGTGTTAGGGATTCATCCAAGGGCCTCGTGTATGCTAGGCAAATGGTCTACTACTGGCTTGTCTAAAATAATTGTGGCACAACCATTTATCTGGGAGCTGTGCTTCCAGAGCCTTGGGTGACACCTGACACATACATATTGGTAGTAGCTCAATACAGACTGGTTCAATTAATTTACGTGACACGAAAAAGTAAACACGATCCATATCCAATATCCATATCTATATCCAATAATCAGGGCTAGACTAAATAAATTATAATGTGTCTATTCAATGGACTATTATACAACCATCAAAAACTATGCTTTTGAGGACTGCCAACATATGTCAGGGGGTAAAAAATGTCAGATTCAACATGATAGGCACAAACGGGACAAGAAAAGGGGTCAAGGCAATAATACCAATGGTTTATCAAGCTGGCAGGGTCATGGGTGACTTTATTTTATTCTATTTTTTAAAAATTGCTATATTCATTGTGAAAAACAGAAATGCTGAAATGCATCAATAATTAAAAAACTATAATTTCATCATCCAGAGAATACCACTGCCAATTTTGAAGTGAGTTCTGCTTTGTTTCTTGTCTTCCCCCTGCCCCTTAATATATTCTTTGCTTTTATGGACATCTTTGGACTTCAAAACGGTGAGCTTTAACAGTCATATGGTGTTGACATACCATAATCTATTTTTTCTACAGTAATTGTTAACATTATGGGTTTACAACTTTTTGCTGAAAAAAATTTTAGGTCAAAATAAATGATGAAGCCATATCATTACTCAGATTCGTAAAGCTCTCAGAGAAGAGGTGATCAGAGTCGAAAGGAAGCCAGTGAGAGCTGGGGTGTGTGTAGGTGCTATGTCCAGTGGAGACTGGTTAGTATAAATGAGCACAGGGGCTCTGTCCCTGTGGGAACGTCTGTGGGAGGATACTCAGCACAGCCAGGGACTCCTTAGAAGGACTCAAAGATGTTCGGACTTAAAGATGGCACAATTTCTATCGGAAGGGCTAGAGATGAATGGAAACCTTCCTGGTGTCTGTGCTCTAATTTCTGGTCCTTGTGTTGTTCAGATGTCTGAGACACTGGCTCAGAGATAGAGGCCCGGAAGGACGATCGTCCCGCACAAAACTCTCAATTTGAGTTTCAGGTTGAGGCAGTGGCCGATAAGCCTGAAGCCAGGAACGGATGTGATGTGGTTCAAAGGCAGGAACTCCGGGGCTACATTGTCTGAGTAGGGACGATCCCAGTCCTGGAAGACTTTCTAGAGGTGGTGTTGGAAAGGAATGGGCCGAAAAGACTGAGAGCTGACGAAGGAAAGCATGGAGAGGTGCACCTGGCTGGTATTTAGCTACGCATGGTCAGTCCTGGAAGGCTGTAGATGGTAATGAGGAGAGAAAGAAGCCAAGGGCAAGGAGAGAAGCTGACAGATGAAGCGGGTGATGGGGGCCCAACAAGGGGGGTGGGGTGGCGTGGGCTGGTGACAGCAGGAGGGCGGGGAGCAAATGTGCCCTGAGTGTGCATGGGATATATATGACAATCGTGATGGGCAGCGGACCGGTGAGGGCGGAGGTGGGGCGTGAGGTGTGGGGCACGAGTCAGGGAAGCGGGGGTGGGAGATGGGGAAACAGCAGAGACGCGCACACTTTAGCGTGTGTCCATTTAGATTCCCTTGATTGCCTCCTTGCGTTGAAGAAGGCGAGGTTCGGGGACGTTAGGTGGCAGCCGAGCGTGGGTCCCGGGGGCGCGGGGCTGGGGAGGTGAGCGGCGATCAGCCGGGCGAGGTGTGGCGGTGCGTGGCGGGTAGGGTGGCGCGGGCGGCAGGCGGGAGCGGGGCGGGCCGCGGCGGCCGGGAGGGGGAGGGACGGGCTCCGCCGGTACACGCCGCCCCTGGCAGGGGGCCGAGCGCGCGCGAGGAGCCGCCGCCGCCGCCGCCGCTCGGGGTCGCCTGGAGCCCCAGATTCCCGAGCGCTCGGCTGGCATGGCAGCCGCCTCTGCGCCGGGCCCCGCGGCCAGCTAGGGGCGGCTCCGCGCCTCCGCCCGGCCCCTCGGCGGAGCCCGTCGGATCGGCCTCGGTCTGCGGCCCGGGGGCGCTTAGCCCTCCAGCGGGAGGTGAGGAACCCGAGGGACAGGGGCGCGCGGCGCGAGGGGTGCCGTGGGGATTCCAGGCCCTGCGCGAAAGGGGACGTGGGAGTCAGTCCGGAGGGGAGGGGGAGAGAGTCGGAGGTGGGGGGCGGAGACTGCTTGCTACCGGGAACTAGGAACGGTCCCTCCCTCCGGCCCCCACGTCCCCTCCATGCTCCAGGCCGCCTCTCGGCGCTGTCCCCATCCCTGCGCACCCCTCTATCCCCATAGCGATCCCAGCTCCGGCCATTCCCGCGCTGTGGCCACGCTCGGTGCTTCGCCTCCTTCCGCAGACCCGGCTCCCCAGTGCCTCTTTTCAGTCCCCTCGCCTGCTCAACCCTTCCCTGCCCCCTTCTTCTGTCCTGGCGCCCCTCTCCCTGGTCGGCTCCTGTCACTTGGAATCATATCCGTGCCGCTATCTCGCATCCAGCCGCCTCCCAGCCAGTGCCGTCCCACAGGTGTCTTCACGTCTGGCTGCCCATCCGTCCGTCCCTCCTGGGGCCGGAACTGACCATGCCCAGCGGCTGCCACTGCCTACATCTCGTGTGCCTGTTGTGCATCCTAGGGGCAGCCGGTCAGCCTGTCAGAGGTGAGCGCGCCCCCCGGGCTCTGGTCGCGGCCCTGTCTTAGCAGTCCTCGCTTTCACGTTGACCTCTGCCGGCCAGAGACGGCACTGCAGCCGCTCCGACCGGCGGGGCTGGTGATACCCAGGTAGCCCTTTGGAATGGGACAGGTCTGTGTTGTCCTGCCCGGAGCTGAGTCTACCCAATTACTAGGACCCGTAATCCTCTCGCGAGTCCCGCATTCCAGGGAGCTGGACCCTGACCTAGACTCACGCCTTCCACATCACTCTCTTGCAGCCGATGACTGCAGCTCCCACTGTGACCTGGCCCACGGCTGCTGCGCCCCTGACGGCTCCTGCAGGTACCTATCCTGAGCACGTGTCTCAAGCCCTCTGCTCCCCATTTCCCAGCACCGGCTCACACACCAGGACAGAGTGTCTAGGGGTTTAAGACTCTACTGTTTGTGCCCCTCCATTTCTTATGGTACACACAACAGAAAGGCCAGCCGTCCACATCCTGCCCCACACTATTTCCCCTTTTGCCTTGTGTCTTTCTGGCTTCTTCTAGCCTGTGTCTGTCTCCCAGTCTTCACCCCTCAAGCCTGATCCAGGGATTCTGAAACATTGCTCCTCTAGATACCTGGAGAGAGACCTGGAGGTTGAGAGAGTTTGGAGAGTGGGGGCCACAAGGAAAGGGGAAGATAAAGGAAAGAGGTGTAGCTTGGGGTAGAAAGGCTGAAGCAGGGAGGTTCTTTCTTGGTGAACTTGAGTAATTGACTCACCCGGGTGGAGGTTGGGGAAATTGTGTGGCAAGACACAAGAAGCAAGCTGACCTAGCAGATTGCTCCATGGGATTCTGGGTGTTTGAGACTACATCCCGTAAGGTTTTAAAAAATAGTTCAGGTGTTTTGCCCTGGAATCAGGGAAAATAAAAGAGTCCTGATGACCTTTCAAGGTCACTCTTCAAAATGTGAGTACATCAGACATGTCGGGAGTGCTATTGGAGGCATTTACTGACATCTTATTTCAACACAACCTGCGAAATGTATCCTGTTTCCAGGGGGAGAATGCTGAGGCTCAGAAAGGTTAGACACAGCACAGATCCAGAATGTGAATGCTGGCATTTGATGGTCTGGTTCCATGTGTCCTGACTCTGCACAGCCTATATCCTTAGGGGATACCATATGCCCTCCTGGTTTCTAGAAGCTCTGCTCTACTGCTTACCCTCTCCATTTCCTCACATCCTGCAACAGAACCCTGACCCTCTGCTTCTCCCCATCAGGTGTGATCCAGGCTGGGAGGGGTTGCACTGTGAGCGCTGTGTGAGGATGCCTGGGTGCCAGCATGGTACCTGCCACCAACCCTGGCAGTGCATCTGCCACAGTGGCTGGGCAGGCAAGTTCTGTGATAAAGGTAAGGGGTAAAGAGGGGAGCCCATGCGTCTTAGAACATCATCAATATTTTTTTGAACACCTGTTTTGACCTGCTCTAATCCCCAAGTACTGTTTAGTCTTTTTTTTTTTTTTTTTTTGGAGATGGGGTCTTGTGAACTATTTGCTGGGGCTGCCCTTGAACAGAGATCCTCCTGATCTCAGCCTCCCAAGTAGCTAGGATTACAGGCATGAGCCACTGGTGTCCAGCTTGGTCCTTCTTTATTTCATGTCTGTTTGTCTGAGTTGATCCTTAACATAACTCCATGAGCTTGGAAAGGCAGCTGCTAAAATTATACCTATTTTACAGATGAGGAAACTGAGGCTCACAGAAGAACTGTAACTTATTTAGTCAGTCTGAGTAGACTGCCAGAGCCAATCTAACTCCAGCTTCAGAGTGCTTTCCCCCAGGACACCATACCAGTCTGGTAGGGACGGGAGTTGGAGTATGAGCCACACTCACTCAGTCTCGGGTCTGGAAGACCTGGCCACACAAGACCTAGGCAGAACTGAGGACCAGATATGAGGCGCTATGCTAGAGCCCTCTCTCTTCTCTAGATGAGCACATCTGTGCCTCGCAGTCCCCCTGCCAGAACGGAGGCCAGTGTGTGTATGACGGGGGCGGTGAGTACCACTGCGCATGCCTGCCAGGCTTCCACGGGCGAGACTGCGGGCGAAAGGCGGGGCCGTGTGAGCGGGCAGGGTGAGTGCTGGAGGTGGCACATGCGGTGTGACTGCTCTATTGGGGAGGCTGTGGTGGGGATGCTCAGCCCTGGCCTCCCCTCTTGCTCCCACAGAGGCCAGCATGCAGCCCTTAGCAACATCCACACAGCAGCAGCCTCGTGTCTCTGTGGGGATGATGACACGGCCACAGGGCCGCACTTGTCCTCATTTCTGCTTCAGGCCTAAGAGCTTGTGAGGATAATAAAGAACTTACTGATCTCTACCTTCGGCCAGACCCTGTGCTAACTGTTCGACATTGGACTTTCTCATGTTAACCCTTACAATTTGGGAAGCTGGGTGCTACTTTTATACTCATTTTAAAATAAGATATTTGAGACTTAGAGAAAGTGGGCCAAGGTGACACAGCTAGAAAGGGGACAGCAGTGGACAGGAGGCTGACCTGGGCTACCCTACAGATGTCAGCAGCATTTACTAATTCTTCTCCCACCTCCACTGCAGTTCCCCATGCCGGAATGGCGGACAGTGCCAGGATGACCAGGGCTTTGCCCTCAACTTCACATGCCGCTGCTTGGCGGGCTTTGTGGGTGCCCGCTGTGAAGTGAATGTGGATGACTGCCTGATGCGGCCTTGTGCTAATGGTGCCACCTGTCTGGATGGCATAAACCGCTTCTCCTGCCTCTGCCCTGAAGGCTTTGCTGGACGCTTCTGCACTATCAACCTGGATGACTGTGCCAGCCAGCCATGCCAGAGAGGGGCCCGCTGTCGGGACCGTGTCCATGACTTTGACTGCCTCTGCCCCAGCGGCTATGGTGGCAAGACTTGCGAGCTTGTCTTACCTATCCCAGACCCTGTCACCACAATGGGCATTCCCCTAGGGCCCATCTCAGCAGTGATGGCACCTGCTACAGGGCCAGCCCCCCACAGTGCAGGGGCAGGTCTGCTGCGAATCTCAGTGAAGGAAGTGGTACGGAGGCAAGAGGCCGGGCTGGGTGAGTCTAGCCTAGTGGCCCTGGTGGTATTTGGGGCCCTCACTGCAGCCCTGGTCCTGGCCACTGGGTTGCTAACCCTGAGGGCCTGGCGCCGAGGTATCTGCCCCCCTGGACCCTGTTGCTACCCTGCCCCATACTATGCCCCGGCCCAGCAGGACCAGGAATGTCAGGTTAGCATGCTGCCAGCAGGGCTCCCCCTGCCACCTGACCTGCCCCCTGGGCCTGGAAAGACCACAGCACTGTGATGGAGGAGGGGGCTTTCTGGCCCCTTCCTTACCTCCTCCACACCTCAGACTGGAGTGGCCCTTTCTTGCCACCCCCCTGCTTGGGTACATACCTGAGGGGACTTCAGCCTCACACCAGAAATACTATTTTTTTAATACACAGAATGTAAGACAGGAATTTTATCAAATAAAACTAACGAAAATGCAAGTGTGCTCCTATACCAAAAACAAATCAAACAAAAAACAGCCCAGAGTCCCTGGTGAAGAAGGCCAGAGCAGCAGGGCCTAGACTGGGGAGGCCTTAGCTCTCTGCCCACCAAGATGTTTCTGAGAGGAACCCATGGTACCCTTTCCTCTCTGGAGGAGGAATGGAGAGGTAGAGTCACAGAGGAGAATGTAAACAAACAGCCAGCATTTCTTTTTTTTTTTTTTTTTTTTAGTTGGACTGGGGTGTGAACTCAGGGCTTCATGCTTGTAAAGCAGGCACTCTACCAGTTGAGCCAGCCAGCATTTCTGTGCCAGCCCTGCCCAGGGTAGATGGGTGAAGATCCCTGAAAGGGCCCGGGCTCAGTGCCATCCTGAAGACTGGACTCCCTGCCGGCTGCTCTGCAGCAGCTGCTGGAACAGTGAGTGTGGCTGGCTGCAAAGGGCGACAGGGGAGTCCAACTCCACGACCCTCCCCGCTTGGAGCACCAGTATTCGGTCCGAGTTCAGGATTGTGTTGAGCCTGTGTGGGAGAAGGTGGTCAGGGTAGGGGACAAGGACAATGCTCTAAAGGAGAGAGATGACATGTTCTCCCTCCTCGTCCCTCCAGACTGTACAGTCTGTCCCTATAGGTTATAGTCCCTGGCTCCATGCTGGGGAAGGAAATGAAGAGTCCCCTGTCAATGTGACACAGAGGGCCCAGGGTTGTTCCTGGACAAAGAGGAGCTGAAATCCCTAGACCCTGACGATTGGGGTCAGTGAAAGGGCCAGAGGGGGAGCTCTGGGTCCATGCTGCCATGGTCTTTGATGATTCACTCTGGACCCTTGCAAACCTGTGGGCAATGGTCAGCACTGTCTTGTTGGCAAAGCGTTTGCAGATGGTCTGCTGGAGCAGCTGGTCCGTCTTCTGGTCCACACTTGCTGTGGCCTCATCAATACACAGGATCTGGAATATGTGGAGGGGAAGGGGAGAGAGAGGCTGTAGGGAGTTACAGCCAAACCTACCTTCAGCTCCCCACCACCAGCTCTTCCCTGAAACCTCTCCCCTGACACATGCCCAAATGTTGCCTTACCTTGGCATCTGTGAGGAGAGCCCTGGCCAGACACAGCAGCTGCCTTTGTCCCAGGGACAGGCTCCGGCCCCCTTCACCCAGCTCTCTATCCAGGCCACCTGCAAGGGACACATCTTCACTGCAGATGGCTGTTCCCTGCTCTTTTCCTGCTCTCCGGGTCAAGGCCCAGCACTCACCCATAGAGACGATCAGCTCATTCAGGTGGCACTGTTCCAGGGCCTGCCACAAGGCCCCATCCTCATGTAGGCCCCGGGGGTCCAGGTTTTCCCGAACAGTCCCACTGAACAAGAAAGGCTCCTGGGGAATGACAGCTAGCTGAGATCTGGGAGATAAGGACATGTGGTCCAAGCTGGAGATGTGGCCATTTTTGTACACTGCACAGGTTTTAGCTATGGAGTCAGCACTTCCAGTAAAGTCTAGGGATGAGACCCAAATATAATTCCTGCTTTCCACCCACCTCCACCAAATCATGTTAGCTCTGTACTTAGAACCATGCCAGTGCTATGAGCTCCATGCGAGCAGTTGGTCAGTGTGGGGGGATAGGGGAAAATGCCCTAAAGGAGAAAGCTGACCTGCTCTCCCTCTCCACTTCTCCAATGAGCTATTGCCAAAGAAACCAAAGGGCTAGGCTCTGGCCTTAAGGAGCCTACATCTTATTGAGGTACAAAAACAGAGAAAACGAATGGGCTAAACTGTGGCCCCGACTCCAGAGACATCAGGGGACAACCAGAGCAGTGAATGGGAAAGTGACACTTCCAGGTTGGAGGGAACCTGGAATTGGGTCCTGAGGAGTTACAAGGTCAAGCTATAAGTAAGGCCACTACAACCTAGAAGAGAAAGCAGAAGAAGCAGGGCCAGGAAGCTGCCATGTGCTCAGGGCTTAGGGTGGGTCTTCCCTACTTTTTCTGCATCATTGAACTGAGAGCAAATGATATCAGGTTAACCTGGGGGCAGATGTTGGGGGATCTATAGCCTGAGATGAAGCTCTGGCCCAGGTCTCAAGCAGCCCCAAACACTGCTTGTCAATTCTGAGGGCAGAGGGATCACAGTGTCTTATGGCCTGGTCCCTGGGACGCTCTTACTTAGAAGGTAATGACTAGTGTCTGGATGGAGGGTGTATGCTTGAAAGTACAAGAAAGATGAAGCTGGACCGGGGTGGGGGGGCACAGCGCAAGTGGTAGAGTGCTTGCTTAGCATGCATGAAGATCTGGGTTCAATCCCCAGTAATGAGGAAAATAAAATAAATATAAAAATAAAAGATGAAGCTGAGACATGCCTTTATGCCTAGTCAGATGGGGAGGCCCCTGGACCACTAGTTATGAATCTGGACCAGAGCACAGGAGTTTGCTGAACTCACCTGCCTGTCATGTTCTACCTCACCCACCTAACCCGCCCTGGCTGTCCTGAGCTTGTACAATCTGTGCCTCCTCAAAGTGCCCTCCCCTGTCCTCCCCTCTTCAGACCTGAGTTCAGCCAGCGCTAGCTGGCTGGTGTCCATGCCATCCAGTAGCACTCGCCCTGCACTGGGCTCCAGCAGCCTGAAGAGCACCAAAAACAGGGAAGACTTTCCTGAGCCCGTGCGGCCCACGATGCCCAACTTCTCTCCAGGTTGCACACGGAAGCTCACTCCATCCAGGGCATTGGGCAGTCCTGGTCGGTACACCAACACCACATCCTGGAACTCCACACTCCCCTGGGTCAGCCAGCTAATTCCCTAATGGGGTGTCCACGGGAGGAGGAGTGATTATGAGGAGAGGATTGAAGGGTGGAAGGAGGGAGAATAATCAGAAATGGATGGTGTGAGAGGAAAGGTGGGGAGACAGAGACGGGAAGATGTACACAGGATGAGGGACACAGCAAAGTATGGTGGCAAATGGAGATGCTAACAGAGCCAAGAAAGAGGATGAGGAGCAAAAGGCAAGGAGCTAGGGAGACTGGGATCTTTAGGAGTCCCTAGGGTCCCAGAGTTCTGGCCTGGGGTTGGGGTACAGGTCTACCTTCAGCGGCTGGCCCTGGGGCTCCTGGGGCAGGTCACAGGAATACTCCTCCAGCCGCTCCACGCTCACCAGCATGGTTTCTGTCTGTGTGAAGCTGCTCACCAGGCCAGAGAGCAGACCCGTCATGGATAGGGCGTAAGACAGTGACAGGCCCACCAGTCCTGGGGAGAGGAGTACCAGCAGCTAGTGGAGGCCTAGACACAGCTATGCGTGTGGTAGGTGGGGGGCAGACCAGGAAAATCCTGTGGACTGTGGGCATTTAAAGGAAGTTGGCAGAGAAGCAAGTGGGTGATAGAAGCTAGGCCAGGAGCACAGGGAACTGATGTCCAGGAGTGAAGTGGGCTTGCAGAAGCCATGAGGGGTGACAGGCAGAAGACTGAGGTGGGCCAGGGACAAAGTGAAGGGGTAGGAGGAGAAGAAGAGAAGGGATGAAGATCAGAAGATTTGTTCTAGTCCCAGATCCACCACCACCTGCACAAGTCACTCCTGCAGACTCAGTTTCCTCAATGATAACATGGGGTGCTATGATAGTGATGACACATCATCACAGGGAATGCTAAGGAGAGGTGACAATTGTGGGGGGACAGTGCAGGAAGCAGTCTGGGACAGGGTTTGGAATGATCTGTTCCTGGGGTAAGGGGCAATGATGGGGCTAGGGTAGTACCTGGATTGGCGAGGCCCTGCTGGTGCTGTACCAGGGCAATGCCTGCGATGGCGCCAACCACTACTGCCCCCATGAGCTGCAGTCGGATGTCCAGCCACTGCATTGTGGCATAGGAAGCAAACTGGCACCTCTGGTTTAGCTCCAAGAGTCGCTGGTTCTCCTCCTCAAACCTGGGGGAGGCCAGGAGGGAAGACAGCCCACTCCGAGGCTGCACAGACACACCCAGGCTCCTTCCCTACAGCACACCTCCTTCACAGAGGCTCAGGTGCTTGCTCTTTTGAAGGGAGGCCTACTTTGTCTTACTCTCTCTTACTTCTGCTTTCAGCCTCTTGCTATAGTGCCTTTGTCCTGCTCCCTTTCTCCTTCAGGAGGCCTGGACTCCCCCTCTCCTAAAAGCCCCGGGATCTGATTGGGAGAGGCAGACTGCACACACCTGTGGGTGGCCCTGGCTGCACGGATTACAGGGAGGCCAGACAAGGTGTCAGCCAGGTGGGAGTAGAGTGGCGACAGGGTGAGGCTGCCCAGGCGCCGCAGCTCCCTCGAGGAGGCCCTGTAGCGGCATTGCACGCAGTAGTATATGATGCCCAAAGGTGGCAGCAGCAGCAGCAGCCAGGGCAGGCCAGAGCCCAGCACAGCCAGGAGGCCCAGCAGGCCTGCTGAACTGGCCAGCAGGATGTTGAGTAGGAAGGGCAGGCTGTCATCTGCACACGCCACATCAGAGGAGAAGCGGTTTAGGACCCGGCCCGTGGGCGTGGAGTCGAAGAAAGTCACTGGCGCCTGGAAAAGCAGGATAGTTAGGCAAGGGCAGGGTCTGCAGAAAAGGGGTTGATGGGCAGCTCTGGGGAAGTCGGGTAGGAAGGAGGGCCTGTGATAGGGAATAGAAAAGGAGCAAAGCATCCCCAGAGTCTGGGGACAGAGGAGTTGGCAGAGCTTGAAGGAAGAGTATTTTAGGGTGGGAAAGATATTTCCAATTTCTCTGGCCAGTGGCAACCCTATGTAGCCATGTTGACCAGTCCTCCACTCTGGGCTAGACATGCCTACCACCCTTTCGAGGACAGAGAATTAATATTTCTTCAGAAGATGGGCACTTCAGGCTCTATGCCAGCAAGTGAGATTTAGTGAACAGGAGGAGGAATATCCTGATGGCCCATGGTTGGACAGACAGACAGGTACTATCAGGGAAAGTCATGGTTAAGAGCTTGAACTCTGGAGTCAGACTGCAACTTGAATTCCAGCCCTGCCAATTAGGAAATGTGAGACACTACGGAGGGGACATATTTATCTCTCAAAGGCCCCTGATCCTCACCTGGCAACTGGGGACAATAAAGGAACCACATCTCATAGGGTTGTTAGTAGGATGAAAGTCCATATATGTAGCAGTCAAGTGCTGAGCACAGTCTGCCTGGCATAGAGTTACCACTCAATGATTGCCAGCTATTTGGACTGGTATTAAGATGTATGGCCTTGAAGACAGCTGTTTGCCTTCCCCACTTTCCAAGTCTCCCATCTCTGCCTTTACTTTGGGAACACTCTTATCATAAGGCAGAGGACTGTTCTGCTTTTCCCATGTACTAGGACACCAGATTGAGGATGTCCCTTCCTTCATCTCCTCACCATAAGGACTCGTTGCAGAAGGCGGTGATGCAAGGTGGCAGCTGCTTGGAGGGTGCCTGCTGCAAAGAGCACTGCTCGGAGAAGGGTGCAGACAGAGTTGACACCAGCAATGGTCGCATAGACAGTGAGGTAGAAACGTATGTCTGAGGAGCCATTGGGGGCAGCTTTGGGCAGTGGGAACACTGGAGTGCTGGGTGGTGGGGAAGAGGCTGTGGGTAACCAAAAGAAGGGCCACTCAGGGGTCCCCTCCCCTCCCCCAGACCACTTTGCCCCACCCTCCAGGAGACAGCCCCTAGCCCTTGCTCCCTCCCAGGAGGCTACTCTGAGAGCACCAGGCCTGCTCCCAGCCCCAGCCACTTACTAGAGGCTTCCAGGGGAAAAGAGTAGTAGTTGTGCAGAGAAAAGCCCTGTGGAGCCTGGGCTGGCAGAGGTTGACACCTCCTGGGAGCTATTCCTGGCTGCCTTCAGCTGAGAGATCCAGTGGGAAAGCCACCAGTCAGCCGCATTGCGTGTGGCTAGATAGGAATGAGGAGGAGGAAGTTGTGTGTCTTATCTGCTTGGTTCTATGTAAACACCCTCTTTCCCTGCCCTTAACTCCAGTTTCTTCCCTTCTGCATCCCCAGGATCTCCCCATCTTGCCCCATCCTGCTTCCCTATTGTGTACTTCTTTCCTAAGCCCATTACCCCATAATTCTGTAGACAGCATGACTTCACATTTGCAGAAAGGGGGCGGAGATCGGAAGACGTCTATGGAGTGTATTGTCTGGTCCCAGGACTCTCAGAATCGGGGCATGTCTTTTGTGCCAACTGTTGCCTGTGCTTGGTGAGTCTCTGGGTCTTGTAATGATTAGTGCAAAGTAATAGAAATGATGGTCACCTGGATGACCTGGCCCTAGAAGGTGGTAAGGAACTCCTGGGGAAACTCTTACCTTGCATGAGGAGCAGGGAGAAGAGGATAGCAAGGGCCAGACCCTGGCCCACAGCCCTCCAGTATGCTCGGTACACGTGGAAGGCCACAGCGCCTTCCTTCTTGCTTTCTTCCTGCAGCAGGCGGTCAGATATGCTCTGCTCCACCTCCAGCCCCTCCTCTGTCTTCTCTGGGGTTTGTACTGACTGGGCCTTGGCTGTGAGAATTGGGGTGGGGTGGGATCATGAAGGAATTAAGCTTGCATGATGGTAGTTGAAAATTCAGTATTTCAGAAGAGCAGACAAGCTTAAAAAAAAATCTCTTCAGTGTAATAGTGAAAAGCAAGCCCCTAGGACTGATGTAGCTCAGTGGTAGACCACTTGCCTAACACACGCCAGGGCCTGAGTTCAATCACCAGCATATTCTGAGCATCACAAGAAAAACAAAACAAAATAAAACTTTAGTCAGGCGTGGTGGCACACATCTGTAATCCCAGAACTCTGGAGGCTGAGGCAGGTAGACTGTTGAGTTCCAGGCCAGCCTACTTAAGTGAATTCAAGGCCAGCCTGGGTTACCTGGGTTGTCTGCCCAGACCTTGACTCAAAAATGAACAGTAACAGAGAGAGAGAGAAAGAGGGAGAAAATGGGCCCCCTCCTCCCATCTCTGGGCCACACCTGCGTCAGGTTCATGTCCATCCTGAGCCCAGGCTTTGGAGACAGCTTGTACCAGTGGCAGAATCTCAGAGGGAGGCCCTGGAAGGTAGATGAAGAGATTACAGGAGGTTGTAATGGGTCTATACAAGGCCTTTCTAAATGTGTGTACAACCCCACCTTCCCTACTGTTTGGCCTTCCTCCCTAACCTACCCTAGTAGGATTCTGCTCTGGGAATCCCCTGACTCTGAACAGGACTCATCAAGTCCATTCCTCTGCAACTAGAGTCCAACCAGCTGATGGACAAAGGGGGAGAGTCACAGCCAGGACTGAGCACCCTGTCTAGAGTTACCTCTCACTGCTGCAAAAGCATTTTTCAATTGCTAACACTCATTTCCTGATATTCCAGTTGAGCTTCATTTCTTCATGTTTCCCAGAGAATGTGCAGGTGGTCACATCCTTTTTGATAATAATCCTTCAGAGTTTTTTGGGTTTTTCCTTGCAAAAAAGCTGTTTTAACCCTGACTGCTTTCTCTTTTCTGAGGTCCTTGGATTGTTCTTAGAGGTCCTGGGCCTCTTCAGTTCCCAAAAGCACCCAGTCATAAAACCCATGAGTCCCACAAGTCCCACAACTCCTGGCATTTCACCAGCTCCTTCTCTTTCCTCACACCAGTTTTGTGAAGGAAGGAGGTGGTGATGACTGGATTCAGGCTGCATATGTAAAGGGTGGCAGGGTCTGCACTTGACATTCATCTGTCTTCCATATCACAACTGAGCAGATGCTTCCCTCACCCAGCTGAGTCTTGGCCCACATTACCAGCACGGACGAGGCGCCCAGCCTCCATCAGTAGCACCATGTCAGCTCTCTCCAGGTACTCGATGCGGTGGGTGCACAGTAACCGTGTGGTGTGGCCCAGCACTCCCAGGATACACCTGTGCAGAAGGTGGTCGGCCACATCTGCATCCACAGCAGCCAGAGGGTCATCGAGGAAATAGAATGCCTTTTCCTAGGGAGAGTAGAAGCATGAGGGCACCAGGTTCAAGTCCTCTGGTTGGTCCCAGAGTCTCACCTAAACCCTGGTCTCAAGGCAGTCAGAGAAGACAGGTGACAGCAACCCTACAGTAGTGGAGAAGGAGATAAGACCTGAGGGTGAACTTCCCTCCGATCAAGCAAGACAAAAACCCCAGGGCTAGTGCTTTCCTGGGTCCCAGTGCTTCGGCCTTTAGTTGTACCTTAAGTCTGCAAAAATAGGACAAGATGGCCACCACCTCATTGAGTTGGGACAAAGAAACCAGATGCAGCTGAAAATATCTCCATTCCCTACTTAGCCAAGATCCCAAGGCTCTGGACTGCCTTCACATCCCTGGCCTGACATCCCCCACCTTTAACTTACCTGGTAGACGCACGAGCAAGGGCAATCCGGGCTCGCTGTCCCCCACTGAGAGTCACACCCTTCTCCCCCACCTCTGTCTGGTCTCCAGCGGGCAGGATCTGATGGAACAGGCACCTCAGTGGTAATCAGGCTCCCCAACACCTTCTACCCCATTTCTTATCTCTTTGTAGGAAAGAGATGAGGAAGGATAGGAGAGCTTGGAAAATTGATACTGGAGTTAAATTTGAGGCAAGTGAGTCACAGATAAGCTATAACTCCAAAATACAGCATTTACTATGAATATTTTCTATGTGCTTAGCACCTTACAGGCATTATCTCATTCAACCCCACAAAGACCTTATAAAACTGGCAATCCCTTTTCACAGAGGAGACCAAAGCTCAGGCAGATTATCTGCCTTGCCCACAGGATGTAAAAACAAATGATAAATGGACACAAGATACTGTGATCAAAGTCAAATGTCCTTCTTCCTAGGGGAAGTTACACATTTATCTGGGTAGGGAGGTGATGATAACTCCTGGAGGAGACATGGAGGTTGGGTGGAGAAGGCATGGATGAAATCTAGTCTCTTCCTGATAAGCTTAGTACCTGGACTGCGTATGAAGGTGCACAAATAGGCTTGGCAGGTTTCCCAAGGTTCTCAAAGGAGACCTGATTCTTCCAAATCTTCCCAGCAAGAGGGGAAAGGGCCTCCCCAATTGGAACAATAGCCAGACTTGTGTGTCACCAAGCCTTATAAGGAGCCCTTACGTGGCCCTAGAGCCCTCCCAGCTGCTGTGGAACATCCAGTAATAACTACCCCATGGGCCCTACAGGGAAAAGGGAACCAAGCAGTGGACATTCTGGAGGACCAGAGTATGATGGCTAGTCTTAGATAAATGAGCCCGAGTAGAAGCAACCCCTGTCCAGAGAAGTAAGTCGGAGGTGTCAGCAACATATAGGGATGCAGGCAGCCAAGGGCTTCAAAGCCAAGCACTCACACTGAGGTCATCGTTGAGGGCACAGGCCTCCAGAACCTCCCCGTAGAGCTGAGCGTCAAATGTCTTCCCAAAAAGGATGTTGTCTCGGATAGTGGCAAACTGGATCCAGGGTTCCTGGGTGGCCAGGCCAAAGCCCTTGGACAGCCCCCACACTCCCACCTGCCCATGTAGCCTGCAGGGAGTCAGACCAGAAGCATGGGGACTGGCTCCTTTCTGGGCCCCTCCCTGTCCAGCCCCTGCCTCAGAGCCTCTTCAGATGGAGGAGGGTCTATATAAGGTCCACCTTTCATGTCACATGTCTGAGTGTACAGCCTCTGAGGTTCAAATGAGGCTGTAGATTCACTCTGGACTGGCAAGGGAAGAAACTGCTCTGGCTGCAGACAAGCAGCTGTCATAGTAACACACTCTGGAGCTCAGATGAGTGGCACACCAAGCTCGTCCCTGCCTGAAAACAAGTCCTCCCTCAAATCTTTGCTCCTCTCTGGACCCCTTCCCTGCACAGTCATATTTTCAGAAGGGCAGCTGGCATTGGCTGATGTTTCCATTCCCTTTCTTACTATTATGGTGCTACAATACTCTGGCGTGATGATGACAACTCATTTTCTTGACTACCTCCCTATCCAGACTGAAAACTCTAAGAAAGGCTGTGACTTGCTCTTCTTATTATGTATGGCTCCCCAAAAAAGGTGCCTGACACGTAGCAGGGGCTCAGTATTTACTAAAGGGCAGAGTTAGGGACGGGGTGTACTGGAGGTTCATTACCTGTGGAGCTCCCCAGTGACAGCAGCCAGCAGCGAGCTCTTCCCACAGCCCACCTTCCCCACGATGCCCACCAGCATACCCTGAAAAAAGCCACACAGTGAGCACTCAGTTTGTAAGGGAAGGGCACAGGGGGCAGTGATCTCCCTCTTGTGGCTCTGAGCTGCCAATCATCCCACTGAGGCTTGGGCCGTAGTTAATCTGCAGGGACTGTGAACCTCAGTCTCTGACTCCACTTCTGATCCAGAGAAGCAGAGTGTTTTACGCTCCTCAGGGCTCTTACCAGTTTTCTGTCTGGGTGGAAGGCCTGTGAGGGGAAGAAGCTTGCTAGGGAAAATGCGAAGACACTGCCTAAGAACTTCTGAAGTACGCTCTGAGGTAGGTCTCAGAGTGGGAAGCAGGTGGGAAAGGACTCCTGGTTTTGGAGACTGTCTGCTGGGGTAGACCTCTGAGCACTGTGGCAAAAAGGACTGCTTTGCACAAATGCCCCTTCCCATGATTTACAGTTTTAAAATTTTCTGTTCTCTCTTCATTTCTTTATAACATACATTCATGGTGCCATCTCTGTGCTTGAAAAGAAAAAAAAAAATCTTTTCTTGAATGGGCTGGTCTCAGAAGTTGTTTGTGATGTTTGATTCTGCCTGCCAGGGTTGACCCATCTCCAAGTGGCCACCAGGTTTCATCTGTGACCTTCCCTGGGAATGTAGGATCAGGTCTTAGAGGCAGCTTCTCTCTCTTATTGCCTGCAGCCCACAAGTGGGAGGGCTCTCTGCAGTCACATCTTCTCAGTGGAGAGTGGGTCCAGAGAGAAGAGCAAGACAAATGCAGAGAGAAGTAGACAGAGCCACAGAGCTCTGCAAGTTGAGGCCTGGTTCTAGCCTGTTCCTAAGATCTGGTTGAGTTCTTGCCTTCAGATTCTGCAATTCATCTCTATATCCTTTATTACAAATTCTTGTTTGCTTAAAGTAGCTCCAGTGGGTTTCTATGACTTATATAAAAAAAAGTACCAACACATTAGTAAAATTCCTTTGAAAAATTCCAGCCTTGTCTTGCCTGAACTAAGAGAAAAAACAAAACACACAGTTCCAGCCAGAAACGTAAGCCAAGTGTGGTGGAGGCGATTCAGCCACCACTGGAGAACTCTGGGTTGAACTGTGGGGCAAAGGATTGGACAAAGGTCACAAGAGGGTGAAAACTCAGGACTGGGATAAACAGGAGTAATCTTCCTGCCAGGGATGTTCCCATTGTAAGTTCTGTGTATGTCACATCATGAGTTGCAATGTGTGGTTGTTTCTTATCAGGCTAAATAAAAGATCACCTATCTTATCAGCAAAATTTCTTGGAAGGGGTCTCCCCTAGGTCCCTAGTCTGATGGGGGTAGTTGCTGGATAAGCCCTGGGGTCCTTTCTCAACTCTGCAGCCAGTGAGAGACACCAGAGACAGAGGCAAACACACCTGTTGGTCTGGCCTGGGTAATGTGAGCTGCCCAAAGACCAGGGAGAGGTGTGACTGAAAAAACTGCGAGCAGAGTGAGAATCAGAGATGAGGTATCTTCTCCTTTCAAACTAGAACCTGCTCACCAAACTCCTCCCCTCCCTCCTTCAGCTATTAGAACTGTAAGGCCATCCATGTATGGTTGGCTCAGTCCTGCCTTATGTCACTGAGTCCCATCTCCCTTGTTATCTGGGGACTCTCCCGTGGTGTCTGTCCAATGAACCTTTTTCACTTCAAGGTGACTGATGAAGGTCTCCTGGCTGGTTCCAACTGGGTCCCAGGAGAACAGGGCTTCATGCAGTTCCAATACTGTAGATGGTTCTGAGGGGGGATCTGAACAGGGAAGAAGTCACTCACCTTGGGCTCCTAATCTACCACCAACCCACCTGTCACTGATTCACTTGCCCCTTATCTACCTGCTCAGAGCTATTCAGTCTCAGTCTGCTGTGCTTGGACCCGGCTCCTCCTCCCCCGGCAGTATCTATGCACAGTACCCAAGTGGCTACAGTCCCCTCCTCACCTTGTGCTAGGTTCTGCCTTCTAGCTTCCCATTACCTGGGCTGTAGTAGGCCTGAGGGTTGTGGTTTGGAACGTCGAGGAAACGCTGGATCCGGTTCAAAGACACTTTGGCCTCCAAAAGACTATTGATCACCCAGGGGAAGTTGTTGAGGGGAAGAATAAGCATGCGCACCAATGCCAGTGCCGTGAACACCTGAGCAAGATCAGGAAGGTGGAGGTGAGGCATCACCCAAAGCCCAGGTAGTGCCTGAGGGTCTGCTGTATGGGTGGACTTATGGACAGATCTATGGAGGGAAGAACAGGACAACACCAGACCTGAGGGGTTGGCTGGGCCATCCTGGAGTTAGAAAATGGCATAGGTGACCACTTCAAGAATTCCGGAGATCCAGGTTTGTTTGTTTTTTGTTTTAGTACTGGGGATTGAATTCAGAACCTCATAAGCACTTGCTCTACTTGTGAACCACATCCTCATCCCCAGGTTGCATCTTGGTAAGTCTAGCTCACATTGATACCTTCTCAGAATTTCAAGTGACATCATTATCTGTCCCTGGCCAGACACTGCCCTGGACCATGGAGCTTTTCCCCTAAGGCCATTAGAATGAGGATAAAGGGACCTAATTCCAGAATGGGGCTGGCCTGGACTATATAGCAAAACCCTGCTTTAAAAAAAAAAAAGTGAGCTACCCCCAAGTCTGGGGTCTGTAGAAGAAAGAGAAGAAAAAGGGTTCCTTCCTATAGAAGAGAGCTATATGTTCAAGGTCCTAGAAAAAGGTCCCCTTAGCTGGGAAAGGATGAGAGTCATAGGTCTTCCTTCCCTCTCTCCCAGCTAGCACCAAGGGCTGAGCCCACATCTCCAACCCAAGGCAGTCTCCTTGCTGCTGCCTCCTTCCCACAACTTCCTCCCAATCCTCACCTTGGTAGCAGTGAGCTGGTGCCCCAGGAGGACATAGGTGGTAAAGATGGCTATGGAGATGATGACTGGCAGGGCAGCCCATAGGTATACACAGGCTGCATCCAAGTATTTGATGACCCGAAGTCGCCCCAACTCTTGAGCCCGGCAGGCTTCTACTCGAGTCCCAAGCGCCTGCTCCCACCCGAAGAACTTGATGACTCGGATGCCACTCAGCAGCTCTGTCATGAGCTAGAGACAGGGGATGAGAAAGCAATGTGAAGACACTGCTCACATGTCTTCTCCTCCGCCTGGATGTTGGGGTGGGACCCCAGCCGCCCCTCACCTTAACCCGTGCATCCTTGTACTGCAGCATTTCCTGATTGCTGGCCATGATGCGGGTGGCAATCACTTTGTTGACAGGCACCAGCAGCGGTGCCAAGACCAGACCAGCCACGAAGGCCAATCCCACCTGCTGGTACAGCAGGTAGAGGGTGATGGCCAGCTGCAGGGGCAGGCCCCAGGCCTCATGGAAGCTGCTGGCAAAGTTAAGCAACCGCTCAGAGTCAGTGCCCAGTAGGTTCAGGACCTCCCCAGTAGGAGGACGACTGGGCCCCAGCTGCAAAACCTTGCGGTACATGGTATTCAACACAGCTCCCCGTGCCTGAAGTGTCACCTTGCGAACCTCATAACCATATTGATTCTGCAGTACTGCACTCAGCACAGCCCCACTGGCTAGGCCCAGGGCATAAAGCAGGCCATGGCTTAGGGGCTCGTGCCCTTCCTCCAGGAAGCCCACTAATAGGGAGAGCAGCAGAGGCCCTGAAAATGCCAGCATGGTCCCCACCAACTTCAGCAGTCCAAGTGCCAGGTACCACCATCCAAAGGCCCCATACAGGGCTCTCCACAACTGGGCTCCCTCCTGCCAGTGTGCCTGGAAGAAACGGGCCAGGTAGGCAGGGTGCAGTCTGTGGGGTAGGCGACAAATGTCATGGGGCTGTCGGAGCTCCCCATGGACCCCACGGGTAAGCAAGGGTGTCAGCCAAGCATAGGAAAAGCGTGACAGCCAACTTTCCCCATCTTCAGCCACCTCAGATTCTTGAACCTCAGAGGACAGAAAGAGTTCCTGAGTCCAAGTCCAGGGTTCTCCTGGCCCCCCAGGGACTGCCCAGCCCAGTCCATATGCGAAAACTGCTGCCAGCTGCAGAATGAGAAGGCACAGGCGGGCTACGGGCCCTGGGAGAAGCGGGGACAGAAACATGTCTTGCTGGCAATGCCATAGCAGGGTCAGCACTAAAGATGGAGTTGGCAGAAGGGCTGACAGAGCCAAGGCCAAGGGGCCCCTGGAACGGCTGTGAGGGGAATGAGCCAACACCCACAGGGCCAAGCTGTGGGTGATCCAGGCCACAGCTGTCACACACCCTGCCAGGACCTCTAGCCATATAGGTCCTGGATCTGCCCCTGGTGGCAAAGCAACTGGAAGGAGATCTAGCAGTGGGAAGATGGAGAGCAGGCAAGAAGCTATGAGTCGGAGGCTCCAACCAGGACTGCAGGGTGGGTTGTAATCTGGAGTCCTGGGGACAAAAGGGAGGAGAGAAAAGGAGACACATCATTGCTGACTCAGGGTTCAGATACAACAATTCACTAACCTAGAGGGAATGAACTCCCTTTCCTGCATTGCATATTGTAGTCCTGCTCCACTTTACCTTGGAACCTAAGAACTTTTCTCTCAGGAAGTCTTTTCTAATCTGATTCATTCTTTTACCATAGGCATTAGCAATTTTGAATTAAGGTTATACCTACCATGAAAACTCTAAATTAGGCAAAAAAATCCAGCAGGGCATAATGGTGCACATCCATTAGAATTCCAGCACTGGGGAGGCTGGGATAGGAGGGTTGTAGGTTTGAGTACAGCCTGGGCTGCAAAGTTTTTACATGGGTGTGTGTGTGTGTGGTACTGGGGTTTGAACTCAGGGCCTACACCTTGAGCCACTCCACCAGCCATTTTTTGTGTTGAGGTTTTTTGAGATAGGGTCTCACGAATTATTTGCTGGACTGGCTTTGAACTGTGATCCTCCTGATCTCTGCCTCCTGAGTGGCTAGGATTACAGGCAGGAGCCACCGGCACCCAGCTTCATTTTTATAAAAGGATCTACCTGAGATTACACTTAAGCTCATCTGAAGAGCTATGACATAAAAATTTGATTTTACTTTAATAGTAGAGCTAAATTTTACAAAGTCTCAGAATATTCATTCTACTGTTAGTTTTTTCACCGTAGGAGAAAGTATGAATCACTTTGCAATTCCTTTAGCTGCAGAAAAATCTCTTTCAGTTTTATCTCTGTCTTCTTGACATAGAAAAAATGTTTTTGGGGGCTGGGGGGAAGGGGCAGAGGACAGGGGGGAGAGATGGCCCAAACAATGTATACACATATGAATAAATGAATAAACAATAAAAAAAGAAAAAATGTTTTTAATAAACAAAAGGTCCACATTTAGAATCAAATATAGGAAAACACACCTGCAACAGTGACTACCAGAATGCCTTGAAGGTTCATACAAAAGGAATACTGAATCTTTTATGCTCTTTGCTGGCAGGGCTTGGTTACTGAAAAAGTTTAGCTACAAACTAAAATACTTTAGGTTTTTTCTTTTACTTTAAGATAGGGACTCAATATGTAGGCTGATCCTTCTGCCTCTACCTCCTAACTGCTGAGATTACAGATGTATGCCACCACACCCAGCAATTTCCTTAAAAGTCCACCTGATGGCAGTTATAAGAAGGGGTTTAGACCAGAATAAAAATCAACCTGTAACATATGGGGAAAGGAGAACATTGAGCCCTTGGAGGTTAGTACATTGGCTCCAAGTAAATGGAGTCCCCTAAACTTGGGCAAGTCCCCTTCCCTCTCTGTACTTCACCTTCCTCTTCAGTACAGTGAGCAGGGGGAGGAGGGTTCTAGACCCAGAGTCTTCTGACATTCTTTCCTGAGATTCTGGAGCTAACACTTATCAGTAAAACACAAAAGCCTGGGAAGTGAAGTGAGTTAGCCACAATTTCTACTGATTACTTAATGATTTTTCTTGACTTCTCATTAGACTGTAAATTCTCAAAGGACTGTGCCAATTTTTTGTTTGTTTTGAGACAGGGTTTCACTGTGTAGCCCAGGCTGGCCTGAAATTCTAGGTCTTAAGTGATCCTCCTGCCTCAGCCTCCTTAGTAGTTGAGAAACAGGCATGTGCCCCTTAGTCTGGCTAGAACTGTGCCAATTTTTAATAGCAACTCCTCTGAGCAGGCTGGATGTCTGTGTTGTCTAATACCCTCTAGGCTTTTGTCTCATTTTATGTAAAAGACAAGTCAGGATTCCTCCCAGACCAAGCAAGTCTGCTGCTTCTATCCAAAGAAGGGATTCATTGGCTTCCTAATTTCTATTAGGAAATTTTCCCCGACCATAACACTAGGAACTCCCAGAAGCAGAGACCAGACTGCCCTCCTGCCATCTCAGCAGCCAAAGCAAGACTAACTTTGGCCATCTGTAGCCATCCAAGAACTAAATTCATCAAGGTGATTTAGCACCTACACCTTACAGTCCTAAATCCAGAAGTCTGAAGGTTTTGATTTTGCTATTCTGTTCTACGTATGACTTCCTCTTTAGCCTAGGCATGAGGAGGTTTCATGGGTAGTGAGAAACTGGTCCTACAACTTAAACATGACTCATTTTTTAGGCTAAAACACTGTTTGCCCTATTTTGCCTCCAATTCATGACAGCTGTGTTAGGGCATCTGCGAATTTACAATAGTGGTGATTTCTACCATGCATGGGCTTTAAGAATATGCCAGGCACTGCACGGTAGGTTTAAGTGCCTTATTTCCTTTAACCCTCTCGACAGTGCTATCAGATTCAGAGGAGATAGGAAACTTGCACAAGGACAGCCACATCGCTGCTAAGCGGTGACATTCGGCCTTCATTCTGCTCATCTCCCCTCCTCTTTAGACCTTGCAATTCTGGGAATAGTGGGTTGGGGTGAGGTCTGCAGGCACACATGGACAGACGTCCTGCCGCCATCTGGCTCTACCCACCTCGGGGTGCCCAAGTGGCAGGCGCTGAGCACGGCCAGGAGTGCATGGGGCAGGGCGCTGAGCACCAGCTGGGTGAAGCAGTGGCCAGTGGTATTCCCTTCCCACAGCGGGAGGGGCCGCGCTGCGCTGGTGCCACACAGCTGGGCCAGGAACCGTTCCATGGACCTGAGCAGAAACCAAGGACGAAAGGGGCAGAGGCACACATGGTACACAAATGAGCATCCCAGCGGGGTCTCCAGCCCCAACCCCGTCCTCGACCGCGGACTTCCCCTCGCTTCCGCCCAGACCCAAACTCCGCCCATTCTCGCGGTACCACTGAGGCTAGGAAGAAGTCTCGGTCCGCAGAGCTGGCTGGCTTCTAGACTCTGGTTACCTGCTTCGTCTCCTCTTTCCTCTCTTAGGTCTCCCCGCCTCCACGGATCCGGAAGCTCAAACCTAAAGAAGTAGTTTTGCGATGAATTCTGATAGCCTGAGTACGAGTGGACGCAAAAGATCCTCCTGCCTCAGCCTCCTGGCCAGGTCAGGGTGCTCAGCAGAGCGTGGATGGCGCCCCCTAGAGGCGGAAGACCTATCAGGGACTGCTTGTCCAGCCCAGCGGCGAGGCTGCGCGCATGCGCAGTGCCCTCCACCTCAGATGCCCTCTGCACGCAGGCGCGCCGCTACCGCCGCGTGGTTGAGTTTGGGCATGTCATCGCCCCACTGCAAATTTACCTTGCTCCCATCTATCTACTGCTTTTTAACTGGCACATGCATTGCATTAGAGAATGCTTAACGCCTAAAGAGCTGGCAAGCTAAACATGCCTGCTACCCCGAGGTATAATGCCACTAAGGACACTTGCAAATCATTTCCTTCCTTATTCTAAGCTGTACGACCTTGGGAGAAGTTATCTAACCACTTTGAACCTCAGTTTCTTTTGTACAATGGGGACAATGATACCAATACCAATGTAAGGTTGAGAGTTGAGTAAGTCATTTAGAGTGCTTAGGATAACTGCCTTACTTAGTCTCCAAAATATAAATAATTTAGAGAAGTAGTGAGAAGAGTGTAAACTGTGCAAATTAGGTTGATGGATGGGGAGTCGAATCCTGACCTCACCAATTTTTAACAGTGCGATGCTCATCAAGTTACTTCTGCATCTTAGTTTCATTATCTGTGTGCCAGGCAGGTGTTGGTATCAGCCTCACACTTGTGTACAGTGTCTGCTTCCCACGAATTTCTCCCTAAAGTAAAGTACTGCAACAAGTATCTATGATTATCCCATTTGGCTGCAGTAAGAAGCCTGGTATTTCTAACTGCCAGGATTGAATGTTCCTATTTAGAAAAATTAAGAAATGTAGATTTAGATTACACAAGATTTAATAATTAATGGATCATCTAGGCAATGATTATTAGTGGCTGCTAACTCATAAAAAGAGAGACAACCAGATATGTGCCAAAAACCTAACCTGAATCTAAGAACCACTGGATCTAGTGACCTACTTGAAAGAAATACAGGGCACAATTAAGCAATACATAAACTACCAACATTCAGATCATGAAAAGCTACATAACAAATGACCTTTTTTTTTTTTTTTTGGCAGTACTGGGGTTTGAATTCAGGGCTTCACACTTGCTAGGCAGGTGCTCTAATGCTTGAGCCCCACCAATAAAAAGGCTTGAAGCACACCTCCAGTCTTTTTTGTTCTAGTTACTTTGGAAGTAAGGTCTAGCTTTTTGCCCGGGTTGGTCTGGACCATGATCCTCCTAATTTAAGCTTTCTTTGGTCATGGGTTGACAGCTATGCACTACTATGCCTAACTTTTTTTTCTATTGAGATGGGGTCCTGCAAACTTTTTTTACCTGGGCTGGCCTGGAACCACAGTCCTCCTGATCCCAGCCTCCCAAATAGCTAGGATTACAGGTGTGAGCTACTGGCACCCAGCTTGATTGTTTACTTTCTTAAAATGTTTTATTTTTGGCAGTACTGGGGTTTAAACTTAGGGCACCACACTTGCAAGGCAGGTACTCGAGCCATGTCTCCAGCCAGTTATTTGCTTTCCCATTCCATAGAGATTCTTACTGAAGTGCTTATGGATTAAACAGATCTGCTTCAAAATAATCTGGGTCGGGGAAGTGGATTGGAATATAGTTGAAATAAAATTGCCCTCAGTTAGTAATTATTGAAGTTAGGTGATGGGTGTCTGGGAGTGAATTATATTATTCTATTTTTGCATATGTCTGAAATTTTTCATGATAAACTTTTTAATAGAGATTTATAGAGTATGGGACAGTGTTTCTCAATGAGTGATCATCTGGGTCCTTTGAGTTACAGTCACCGGGATTGCTTATTAAAATACAGATTCCATGGACTGGAGATGTGGTTCAAGCAGTAGAGTGCCTGCCTCACAATCTTGAAGCCCTGAGTTCAAACCCCAGGACTACCAAAAAAGATAAATAAAATACAGATTCTAGGTCCACTATAGACCTTCAGAGTGAGGATTCTAGGAGAGGAGTCTATAGTCTGCCTTTGGTGACTCTTACACCCAAACCCCACAGTTGTCAGGAGCCTTGTCCAAGATGGTAGGACTAATACATATTACAACCCATGCCCAAGACCAGCAATCATGGTGTCCAAATCACACTATGTTATGAAAAGACTCGGGGTCTAATCAATTTCTGGATCAGGAACACAGATCGAGGCCAGCATAGGGGAAAAAGTAGCAAGAGTCTAAACTCAATAAATACACTGGGCATGGTGGCACGTGCCTATGGGTCAGTTACACAGGCTGTAGGTAGGACTGAGGTCCGAGGCCAGCCATTGGAAAAGTGTGAGACCCTACCTGAAAAATAATGAAAGCAGAAAAGGGCCAGGAACATGACTCAAGTGGTAGAATACTTACCTAGCAAGCGCAAGTCTCTGAATTCAAATCCCAGTACCACAAAAAATTACATTTGAATTGCTGTCAAACACTAAAATAAATTATTTTGCTCTAATATCCTTTTTATTATAAATGCAACATCTTATAGGAAATTAGAAATGTGGCTAAGTATGAAGAAAAAATTAAAACCCTCATGGTATAGTTAGGCAGCAGCTAAATTTCAAGCGAGAGCTTATAGGGTGCCCCTGACAACTCATCCCTTTCTGACTGCTTTTTTGGCAGCTGGGTTTGAACTCAGGGTCTCATGCTTGTAAGGTAGGTGTTCTACCACCAAGCCATGCCCCCGGCCTTTTTGCTTTGGTAATTTTTGGGATAGGCTCTCAAATTTATGCCCAGGGCTAGCCTGGACCTTGATCCTTCTATTTATGCTTCTGAATAGCTGAGGTGGTGAGCATGTACCACCACACCTAGCTATTGATTGAGATGGGGGTCTCACAAACTTTTGCCCTGACTGGCCTTAAACTGCAGTCCTCCTGATCTCCATCTCCCAAATAACTAGGGTTATAGATGTGAGCTGCCACAACCAGCCTGACTGCTTTCATCCTACACTGAATTCTGTGCTTCCATTCCCTTGCGCACTGACAGCGGGGGAGATGGATCCAAAATCATTACTCCCCATCAGATTTTTGGAATGTGTCTTTTCACTCAGACACCCTCGTTGCCACACAGTTGCACACAGATGGAGTGCAGACATGCAGGTGTGCTCCCAATGCAACTCACAGTCTTAAGTGAGTGCTTCACACTCATGAGTGTTGGAGTCCAGCACATGTACTGATTTATTTCTTTTGCTAAGTTCCATCTTTTCCGTCCCCATCCCCAAATTTCCCAGGCTTCAGAGCATCGTGGGATGTTTAGGTCCCCCAGAAGACATGTAGGTTATACAGTCACTCCTAGTCTGAAAGGGCTCATAGGCAAGCAGGTTATTTAAGAGTTTTAGTTTAATCCAAAAGATAAAAATCAAAATAAGAAAAAAACTGATCTTTGTCTTCTTTTTATTTTTTGACAGTGCTGGAGTCTGAACCTAGGGCTTCATGCTTACTAGGCAGGCATTCTACCACTTGAGCCACACCTCCATCACTTTTTGCTCTGGTTATTTTGGAGATTGGGTCTCACTTTTTGCCCAGGCTGGCCTTGACCAGGATCTTCCTATTTTATAATTCCCGCTGTAGCTAGGATGACAGGTGCATGCCACCACACCCAGCTATTTTCTGTTCAATGAAGGTCTTATGAACTTTTTTGCCCAGGCTGGCCTGGAACCATGATCCTCTCAATCTCAGCCATCCAAGAAACTAGAATTACAGATGTGAACCACTGGTGCCCAGCAGTTTTTCTCTTCTTAGTTATTAAAAATTATGGGTACAAGGTTGGAGGTGTAGCTCCAGGGCAGAGGCATGCTTAGCATGCGTGAGGCCTTGGGTTTCATCCCTAGCTCATGCATGTGTTTGCACATTTGCAATACTCAAATGCACACCCACACACTCACAATCATGTACACATCTCACACACTTGCACGCTCACACACATTCTCATACACACACAAACACGTTTGCACATGCACACGGGTTACCAATCTCTCCCTCTCTCTCTCTCTCTTTCCCCCCTCCACACACACACACACACACCATGGCACACACCATGAGTGGGTAAGTAGCTAGCTGCAAGTTTTTTGTGTAACGTGGGACTGGAGTTTGAACTCAGGCTTTGCACTTGCAAATCAGGTCTTTAGCCACAAACCTCCAGTCATTTTGCTCTGGTTTGGAGATGGGGGTCTCTCGAACTATTTGCCTGGGCTGGCCTCAAACCATAATCCTCCCAGTGTCAGCTTCCAAAACAGCTAGGATTACAGGTGTGAGGCACCGGCACCCAGTTATTTGCAAGTTTTAGCCACTGTATGCAAATATAACACCCTGTACAGAGGCTTGCGTAGAATTGTATACGTTGCATGTATACAAGCAGGATGAAGATAAGTGTGGCAGCTCTAAGGTCGGGACTCTTTACAGAGGACACTTCTGAAAGGACTACAAGAGGGACAGACAATGTCCCTCCCTTACAGATCTTCTGCAGAGCACACCCTCTGGGAACCTTGATGTAGTCACCAACCTGGAAGCTCATCAAATGTCCTTGTTCATTTTAGGTATTATAGCGCTGGGTGTAGTGGTACAGACTTGTAATCCCAGCACTCAGGTGGCTGAGGCAGAAGATCTTGAGTTTGAGGTCAGCCTGGGATACATATCAAGTATATGAGGTAGAAGGAGACTTTGTCTCAAAAAAAAATTTATTATGGAGTGTAATCTGCAGCTCCACCCCACTCCTGTTCCCCAGAGGTTTGTGTGTGGGGCTAAAAGTTTGGATACTCTAATCACATAATTAGATGCTCTAGATGTAACTCTTTATTTAACAATTTATTTTCCAAAACACCATTTTACAGTCTCACCAGCAAGGTGTGACCATTCTGATTTTGCTACACTCTGGCCAAGGCTTGTTACTGCCTTTTAAAAATTGTAGCCATCCTAGAGTGAAGGAATTTCTCCTGGTTTGATTGTTGTTTTCTTAATGACAAATGGTGTTGAATATCTTTCATGTACTTAT